ATAAAAATATTGACACAGAAGTAGATGAAGCAAAATTCGGTTGGTGTTATACGACATGCAATTTTCCAAATAATAAAAATTACTTAAAGTAAAAAATTATATTGTAATAAAAAATATCTGAAGAACAAAATAGCAGTCTATTATTTATTGTATAGAATTGCTGATTGATATAATTTATAAATCTTTTCTATTATATGTCATAATTGAATATAATATCAAGTTGCTTATTAATTGACAAATAGTATAATCGATTATCATTATATATATATATATATATATATATATATATATATATATATACACATATATTAAAATACATTAAAGTAATATCTAAACGATGTAAATTAACTTTAAATATTATTGTATTTGAATCGCTCAAATAAAATTTATTGATAAAAACCATAAACTATTTTTTAACAAATTTATATATTGCATTTTTATTATATGAGTATAAGGATAGACACGTTGTAAGCAGTATATTTTGTTGTAAATAAGGAGTTTACAATACATATTATTAATACAATTCAATTGTCGGTATTGTTCATTTGCTCATATCAGTTAATAAGAAGTGGGCAAAAGAATCACGATTGTTGTTTAATCGTATTCGTTCAGCTCTAGAAATTATATATTGGCTATAAGTAATTAATGGTGTTCAGTACATACACACGGTTCATTCAATTCGCCTCGTCAGTATTTTAATATTGAAAGTAACATAATTGTGTCTTCTAAATTACTTAAAATAAATAATATGAAAAGTATCTGAAAATTCTAGTATATTTTAGTGAATTTTTAATCCATATGTGTAATAATTTTTTCGAATTTGTTTCAAATATTATAAAATTTTATAAATATTTAAAGAAATGAAATTTTTTTCAGTCTAAATTTTAACATAAAATAAATAAATATATAAATGTAAAAGCAAATGACGATCAAGTGCTGTAGAAAATTAAATCGATTTGAAAATTATATAATTACAATATACACAAACATATATATATATATATATATATATATTTATTTATTTATTTATTGTATTGTGCATATCTTGAAATTTATAATTTCTAACTTAATTTTCGAGTTTCTTACATAGTCAATTATAATAATCAATAAATACATTTTTTTTTCTTGCGAGATTAGCTTGAAGTTTGGATTGCATTATTTATAAAAAGCAGTTTTTAATAGTTTGAGATTACACGCTAATGAAGTTATGTTGTTGCAATAACAAAGCTGTAATATAATTTTTTATTGGAAACAATTATAAAGAAATTTAAACTAAAATCAAATTTGTTTCAACTAGTACTTTTAACTACCTGAGACTACTGTTAAGTAGCTGTACCTGATAAGAATTTATATTATGAAAATGAAGACAATATGTAATAAAATGAACACAATCTATATTATTTGAAGTCGATACACGTTAAAATTTATTAAAATATTTCTTCTTATTCACATTAATAACAGGAAACATTATATTTTAATGAAATTATAAGCAATGCGTAATAATACTAAAATATTTTTGGCATTTAATTAGGCTAATGAATGCATTTTTGAGAATATGAAAATTTGAAAAGAATTTAATAATATTTGCCTAATGAAAATATTAATGAAACAAGGAATTTCTTTCATCATTATATTTAATACAATTTTGTTTTATTTATTATACAGAACTTTATAGAAGACAATCTATGCATTCACACAAAGATTTTAAAAACTTCATGCGAAGCTTTTATAAAAATTTTATATGCACAATCATAGGAAGTGTAGAATAAACCAAAAAATTCTATAATGCATACACAAATTTAATTTAATCTATGTAATGCCAATTGGAATATGCATCAACAACTGTTAATTACATTGCAGAACTTAAATAAACAACAGCGAATCATAACAAGCCATAACAATAATCAATCAACAACATTACAGCATTTATCAATAAATTCATAACAGAAAATATTTATAAATATTATGAGAGAGTAAACAAAGTATGAATTGGCTATAAAAATTTATATTTAAGGCAAAAGAAAATATTCAGCGTTGATTTATGTGGTCACAATGTAATCGATTAATCGTAATATATTTGCAGTAAAGAAGCCAAGCAACCGAAAAATGAGTGAAATAATTCCTATTCGAATAACAATTAATGCGAATAAGTCTATATTATTTTGTTTAATGATATTTACGATAGAGATAACATGACACGTATAAATTAAATACATTAAGCGTTGATTGAAACGTAAACTAAAACTGAAAATTAACATGCAACTTTAATACGAGCAATATTATTGTCATAAATATTTTTATTAATTTCGTGAAATTTTCATTTTTGAAAGTCATTATGTTTCAAATTAAATGATTGTGAATGGACGAGATAGAAAAATTAAAATTGTGTCAATTTTTTTTTTCTCTTTTTAATCTTTGTGTTTGTATACGCAGTCCGACGGTAAAATTCAAATTTACCCCTTACGTAGATAAAGTTAAACTCCCAACTAAGGATACTTAAGCTGGAGAAAATTCTATTGTCCTCGACTGGGGTCTTTCGTGCTTCCCAAATATCCTGGTGCATGCAGAATATACATTGCAGAAGACTTAGATAAGAATCCTTGATAACAACGAGTGTACGGAAACCCGTCCATTTCATATTACCGACGACGAAGTATGCGCTTTTTAAAGAATTGGAGTTAACATTTGTAGTGTAAGTATTTATTATTTATTTGCGCCAATAAATAAATAATTGAATATCTAGGGTTTTTTTTTTCTTTTCTTATTATAGTATATTCTTGTATCTTAATTATTTTTATATTCAAATTATATTTAGAAACAATGGTTACATCGTTATTGTAATAAGATCTTTTGAAGATTAGTCGGTACTGCTTCATTTGGTTTTACACGTAATGTAAGTGTGCCTCACATATATACCAGAATACATTTTATTATGGAGTGTGTCTGAGATCAGACTAAAAACGCTTCCCTGAGATGGTGAAGGGAGGCTTGCTGGCAAGTGGAATGGACAATGCAATAATTCAATACTGCCTTTATAAGAGTTGATTTTCCCTTTTATTGTATATAATAAATAATGAATAGTTAATAATCTATGAATATCGAAATGAGTGTATGATACAATGAATAGGGGAGAGTTTCTTCAGGTAATGTGAGTGATGATAATCTTATAAGTGCATTCTTGTGGTATGATGCGTGATTGACGCCATCGATTGCTGCTACCGATACGCTGGAGAGGCCTGTTTGGGGCGCTGGTGTATGACGTCACTGATGAATGGCAATGATGCCTTGGTTTTGGTATTGCTGCTTACTTAGTTCACGGAGTCGTGTTTTAATGATTCGTAAGAACGTGTATAATAGCGTAGCTTAAGTGTGTGGAGATAGATCGTTGTGTATTGGATGTGAGCTCTATATAAGTGGTATTTGACTTGTAAGAAGGCGATCTCTGTGTAAATGGCATTGACTTGTAGAACAATAATTTGATCTTGATTATTGCTTGATTGAATTGGTAAGAGTGCAGCCCCTTAAATATTCTCGTATAAACAAGCTACGTTGAAATTGCATAGGTGATCATTGCAATGCCGATATTTGTCGTGGCGTAAACAGGGCATAGCCTCGTAGAGTTAATTTGTTATTACATTTTTGAAATTATAGTAGTATATTCGAGTTTTTATGTTATAAGCAATTCTTTGAATTCGTTAGTCAGTTTTTACAAAACAAATGCTCGCGCCGTCATACCTCTCCCACTTTTTATTTCGCTTAGAAACTACTGCAATCCGTAATTGAGTGAATTTAATCTTTCATATATATATATTTTTAAAATATTATATTAAAATGATTTTCTTTTTATTTAGCGAAAAATTGTAATTATTGGTAATTTATTAATTTTTCATATTATTATGTGCAAAGTTGACTATCATATTTGGAAAATGTATTATATTATTTTTATATTATTAGAATGTATTAAATATTATTTGTTCTGTTAATACTCTTTATCTTAGCGAATAGTGAATACTCGACACCACGAACATAAGTAATTCGAATTAAAAATAATGTAGATATTGTATTAACATGATAAGCATTCCTGAAAGTAATTCAGAAATATAAAAAACTATTATGGAGTCAGACTAATCTTAATGAGTGAATAGGGAAGTAATTGATATGATTTTGAATCGTAGAAGACATCCAACATGTAGCAAATATTAATAAATGGTTTTCAAGTTCCATAGAAGATGTGAACATATCTTAAATAGCAATTTATTTGGATTCAATGCAATAGACTTAATTCATGATAGCTAATAAACAAAATAAAAAAATCACTAGAGAAAAAAAAAGTCATCCATCAAATATTCATCATCGAAGTACTAAAACTTTAATTTCATTATCATCATTAAAAAGAGCAAAGTAACTTTAGCTATAAATCTCTAAGCTACACATCACTTTTTCCTCTTTTTATTATCCTCTCTCTCTCTTCTCTCTTCTCTCTTCTCTCTCTCTCTCTCTCTCTCTCTCTCTCTCTGTGTTTCTCTCCCCTCTCTCATTCTTACTAAATAAATAAAAATAGAATAGAATATAAATAAAATATTCATTAAAAATTATTGCTATTGACATTATTTGTAAAGATGTTTTATGTATTAAAAATTATAATTATTCTAATGGTTAAGTATACATAAAAAAAGTACAAATAATAATAAGAATACAAAAATACGTAATGTGGCAAATTAAACAGTTGCTTATTAATTTCATAATTTCATAAAGGTTCGGAGAAATCTTCATTTTAATCTTCAAGAGAAATTCTATTAAATTCTTAGCTAAACATTGCCGAATAGATCATTAATATTGATAAAATAGATCTTCTTAATCTTCAAACTACTTATTATCGAAAAATATTAGAACATAATAACATGGATAATAATTAAAAAGCAATACTAAATAAGTAAATTGCAGAGATACTTAAATTGTTAGATAATTAAATGATTATTGTGAATAAGATAAAATTTACTTGCAAAGATACTCCGAAACTGAAAAGATGGATAAACCTTTTTGAACGGCCAGTAGTTTAAAAAGAGGGATAAGCCCAATCCCATTATAGACTAATAAATAATTGAATTTTAAACGCGACCATGTAGTAGTCTCTAGCTCAGCTGGCCAACAATTTTAATGCTATTTATCGTTTGATCGAGGGAGACTCTACCCATCCGGGGACCAAAGACGCCACCGAACGGCGGTTCGACGCAACGAGAAATCAGTGCGAAGTCGGAGCTCAGACATTACGCGCGTGTCGTCACATTCGCTACAGGACAAACGACAAGAGAAGCTTATCGGTGACAAGCAGAGGCAATGCCAAGGGCCGGGCTTATCTGCTTGCTTATCTATACATTATTGTTGGTAGTCTCGCAAGTGGCATCTAATAAGAAAATCGGCCCATGGGTCCAACCAACCGAGGGCGAGCCTTGGCCCATGCCCACGATCAAAGATATTTTCGATAGAGATTTTCAAATTCATCCGGATCGCTTCGATTTTCAGGTGCTTTACACGTTACTCACGCGTCAAGTGAATTAAAAACAAAAAGAGATATATTAGGCTTTCACTCACGTTGGCGCACGTTCCTGCCCTTAAAAAAGTGGCAATTAAAATCTTGTCGGTCTTGCTTCTTTGCCCATAATATAGATTATACGCGCGTCGGATATTTTTGGAATGTGCTTTATTTATTTTCTCACCTAAGTAAAATTGTTTTTGTTGTTAGTGAAATTAATATTCTTTACCTAAGTATCAATTTGATGGTGCAACCGAAGAAAAATTTCGGCATTAAGCTTCTTATGTAATTTTCTATTAATTTTATTACACTGAAATATAGATTTACCAATTGTTTCGCTCTTCAAATAAAGTTTATGCCAGTTTTCAATCTTTGATACAGCTAAAATTATTCAAGCCAATGTAATCTACATATAGATAAAAATATTTTGTTATATTGAGAATGTTATTAGTAGTGCGCGTGTAATAGTGATATAATAACTATGTCATATTTTTTAAATTAATAAAAATCGATTGAATAACATTCTAAGTTTGGAATATATGATAAATGAATTAACTATGTGTACTACTTTTTTTCCAGATCACCAATGAAAACTGTGATATACTCGAAAAGGCAATTAGAAAGTATAAAGACATACTTATGAATGATTATATTATAGCAGAAAAACTTATTAAACATAAAAAGGACCTGCAACAGGATGAGACCAACGATTTTGAGAATATTCAATATATTAATCAAATTCAAATTCATGTAAACAATCCCTGTGAAATGCAACCGCATATAAATATGAATGAAACCTGTAAGTATGTATACTCTATTATCAAAATACGCTATAAACTGACTGAAGTAAAATAAAAAAAATTTTAAAAATTATCCAAAAATTAGACCAAACAATATTAGATTAATTTATGTAAAATATTTTGAATATCGAATAAAGTTTAAAATTATACGTAATGGCGCATAAAAATTCAGCATAAAGATTCACTTATAAGTAAAAAAATTATAAACATATTGTGAATTAAATTCAATGAAATTGAGATAGAAATATTATATCAACTTGATTTGGATCTATTAAAAAATATTATTTTATCTTATTCAGCCATATCGTTTAATGTTAAATTGAATAAATTATTTATTATTCGAATTTATTGCATTATTTACTTGTATTGTTTACACACCAAAAGTGAGTTATTAATGAAGGCCAAAATATAAAACCTGTAAAAGACACAATAAATAAAAAACATTAAATTTTTATTACGCAGATAGAAAATTAATGGTAAAAAAATTTTAATTCGAATTTAATTGACAATTAATGACAGAAAAAAAAATAGTTTCTATATTAAATATCGATTGTTTTTGCTAACTGATTCGTTTTATTTCTCGATTAAAATACTTTTCTTACTTACATTAAAATGCGCGTGATTTAAGTTATAAAATATCATAATCATCGACTCCATAAATACGCAAAGTCCAAACCTTCACTGTATAATCTCCACTGCCTTCACTGTTTATTCATATAAATATCATTTCATTGAAACGGTATTTCGATTTAAAAAATTTCAATTTTTTATTTATCCCCGTATAAAATCCATAATGCTGATAATAATAATGATAAGACTGTTTGAATTATAATCCAAAAGTAAAAGCAAGTTCAACATTTATTATTATATCAAAATTAAAAAGAAATAAAAAAAAAAGAAAAATTTAATAAATTTGAGCAATTTTGTATTCAGTTTAGTATGATAAGTTTATGTGAATGTAAAAATAGATATATTTTATTAAGCATTGAAAAGTCATTTCCATAAATACATTTTTAAGGACTCGGTACGATCGATTGCCATTTATTAATATTTGAATTACTTATAAAATATTATTAAAATTATATTTAAAATATTAATTAAAATTTCTTCTTAACACCTTTGCTCTTTACAATGTTGATTATTAATGATTTTTATACTCTCAATTATTCTCTTAAACTAATAATTGGCGACGCACGTACGCACGCACACGCGCGCATAAACACCTACGTACGCATGCATATAAAAGCAATATAATATTTAAAAATTTCAAACAACCGAGTATAATTATAAAATTTCAATTAATCTACTCAGATTGCGGTTGGGCAATAATTGATCGTTAGCTGGCAATGATAGATGTTATCATCGGCACTTGTTCTAATTAACCGTAATCAACATCACGAGCAGTCTGATCACGAACTCGGATCGTCACATACACATACACACCTTTCACTCGGCTTGACATGGATGGCTAATTGTTCGTTCCCCGACTAAACCAATAAAATTCGCGAGCCTTACTAGTAGTCAGCATACGTTATTACCTGGGACACCGAGAATCTCTGATGATAACATCCCCATCGCTCTGTTTACAAACTATTATTTAGCATTGCTGACTAATTCGCCTTATAGACTTTTTTTCGTAAATTTTCCGGCACAGCTTGAAAACTTGTGCACACATTGCTTTACATAATAATATATAACGATATTTATATAATAATAATAATAATAATAATAATTATTATTATTATTATTATTATTATTATTATTATTATATAATCATAATGATATAATAATAACAACAACGACAACAATAACAACAATAAAAACAACAATCATAATAACAACTCCAAAACCAGCTATAATATTAACAAGAAAATGAAGAAGAAGAAGAAGAAGAAGAAGAAGAAGGGAATCATTGTGATACAATTGATTATGGCATGTATCATTCAAATAAACTTTATTAAACATGTTACTATTAATTTTGACAATATAAGAGTAAAGACCATATAAATTTAATTCAACGAGATCGACCAAATATAATAATATGTAAATAATTTATATATTATCACTTATCATGGCAATAAGATTTTATACTTTTATTATAAATATTTGCTATTGTATGCAGTTGATATTTGTTACTGTCGAGATGTAATCGTTATTCTTCAACTGTTTATCATTAAGTAAATTATACATTAAATATAACGAATATTGCCTAATAATTTTATTCTTCGATATTTTAACTTTATAAACTATTGAATTTAATGAACAAGGTAGCATGTTTTTTTATTTATTCCTCTATAATGCTGCTTACTAAAAGCACATTTTCATTTATTTGTAAAAGTATTCCTCTATTCCATTTCAATTTGCTTAATTTATTTTGCGTTTTATGTACTTTCAAATTATTGGTGATTCTATATTTACTCATTTCCTTCATTATTTGTACAGATCACTGATCCTTTCATCATATTCTCTTATCTGCCACTTCAAATAATATCATGGAGTGCTGTATAAATTCATTTTTCTCAACATCGCATATTTGCTTGTTAATAATTACACGAAGAATCATGTGTGCACTATGAATCATTCGTGAGAAAATATAATTGTGCTTATTTTTACTTTATCGAGTGTACAGCTTCAATCAGTCGAAGCATTAAAGCATATTTTTTTTATTAATTTATGTGTCGTATCAGTTCACATGGAACTGGACCATAAGATACGATATAAATAATTAAGTACTGATTAATGCATTTATAATTATTTTATTTTTTTGCTTGTTTCAATTGTTTAATCCTCATTCTTTTTTCTTTTTTTTTTTCTTTTTTTTTTTTTTTCATTTTTCTGATTACCACGATTTGACATATTAATAATCAGTGGTAAAAATATACAAGTAAAATATAATGAACTTTGTTTCTATACTACAAATACTTTTCATTCTCATTTAATTGTCTGACTATAATTAAGTGAAGGCGTACGTATAAAAACTATAGGCTTCTTCTATGCGGTAAAAGAAATATAAAAACAATTAAATTAGTGCTTGCTTTAATATAATTTATACCACTATTTACCGTTGGCTTTCAATTTACGCTCATATGTAAAAATTATTGGAAAAGAAAAAGTTGACGAACGATAAATGAAGACAGTTACTAATATAACAACCAATAACAATAAATAATAACTAATAAATAATAATTAATGACAATAAATATAATAACTAATAACAACTAATAAATAATTAAAAATATAATAACAAAATAACTCATAATTCATATTTTCACAAATATACTTAAAATAGTTATAATTCTTTTTCAGTTTTTTTGTCCCGTCGTATAGTAATAACCTTATATTACTATAATTCAATCTAATTAATTGTACACCCTTGTGTTATCAATTATTTGTCCGAATACCGTTATGTTATTAATATTTTATATCTGAAAAAAAAATAGTAATACTCAATATTATATTCAATTCATACGAATAATTAGAAAATGCCTTATACAAATAATTATTTAATCACGAAAATCATGAACATAATGTGAAACATTAAGTTTATTCGTAATTATTGTGAGAAATGAGAAAATGAAGTTATATGATCAATTATTAAAATTTACATTATTTAAGTATAATTTTCTTATATATATATATATATATTTTTTTTTTTTTCTCCAACTCTATACATGTCAATAAGGAATTACAAACGTTAGAAAACTTTATTAAATGTATAAGCGAAGCGTTTGATAACTGTATATTAATTGGTACATTAAACAAAAATTTATTAATAGTAATGTTAAGATTAGTTCTGGATTACATATTTTCTATGCAGTGGTAGTAAAATAGAAAAACCATTTCAAAAAAACATTTACCTTATTTTCATTTGATTAACACTAGTAAGTAATTGCTTATAATCATATAAATATAATAATTTATAAAAACATTAGATAAAATTTGAATAAGATTATTTATAACTATTTTAAATTAGCTAATTTTCCCTACTTAATAGTTTGTTTTGAACGTATTGAGATTAATTAATAGAGATACTATTAAATCTTAATATTATATTACATTATTATATTATAATTTGTATATATTATTTTATTTTTATCCATTCGTTTCGGCATAATAATTTATAATATAAAATAAACATTTAATATCATTGCAGATGATTTAATAATACCAAATATTGATGACCATGAAACGGCAATATTGATATGTAATTCAGTTTGGGGTGCACTCCGAGGACTTGAAACTTTCTCTCAGCTTATTGTTCCAACATCTAATGGAGTATGTATAAAATTACAATCACAATATTAGTAAGTAAACATATTTTCAAGCTCAAACATTATCTATAAATATTCAAACATTAACCTCAATAAATTCATAGAAAATATAACTGTGATAATATAATAAATTATATTTAGAATTGTATTTACCAAAAATTAATAGTGAATTTGCATGAACATATGCATTAAAAAAATTTCGCTATTTCAATAGCGAACTTAAATATTGTAGGTTAAAATTTAGCTTCATGATAAAATATTTATAATATAGTTTTTAATGTACTATGTTTTATTATTTAAAAATTTTCCAAACGATGTATTATGAAGGAATTATTTATATTATATCGATCAAGATAAATAGGAATAAAGCAAAAGACGTATAATAATCTTTCGTATTTTACATTGAAAGAACACTTAATAGGGAGTAATTTTAATTTTAATCTTCATAATATTAAAGTTCTTTCATCAATTAATTTTATTTGAATGGAAACATGTAAAAACTAATGGCTGCTTACAAACATTTTATTTCATTTTATATCACTAATAAAAAAAAAATGTGAAATTCCTAAATTAAAAGATAGCGAATTGAGTAGCAATTATTCATTCAATACAATATTCAATTTTCAAACAAATAACTAAAATCAAATGAAAAATTCCATTTACAATCTGCAATATTTCAAAAACTTACAAAAACTAGTAAGTCAATGCAATTACCATCTGTCACGAAAAGCCAATAAAAATAATCAAAAAGGGCCCTACATTTTTCACAAATGATGAATTTATTTTTAATTGTATTTAAATATACTCTACTTACTCACCTATAACTTTTTATTAGAATTTTATTTTTCCTTCATCTATATTCATTAAAGGATTTCATTAATACGTATACATGTATGATATGTTTGTGAATTTAAATTCATCGGCGATACATGTTAATGTAATGTATGTGAACATATATTATCAAAACAAAATATATAAATGAATTCAGAAGTATATTCACTAGATTATACAATCAATCGGAATCTTTCAACATTGTAATAAAGTAAAGTGTTAATAAAAGTAAAGTTATAATAATTTTATACAACTTTTCAATATAAAATAAATTCGTATAATTCAAAATGTTTTATGTGCTTATACAAAATATCAATTTCATAAATAAAGATTTTCTTTATGATTTCTCTGATAAGTTTTAATCATTAATATTATAATTTTGTTGCATTAAATAAGGGGGGAATACGTAATTAAACTCTAAAAAAAGAATTTATGCATATCATAATTTGTAACTTTTGAAAGCATTGGGAGGAATTTTATTTATTATTATTTATCAAATAAAAGCAGTAATTTCTATATAAAAATATTCAAATATATCAGTGATTAGTTTTTTAAGAATCATTAATCTTCATTGTGTTAATTGCTTAAAAGATATTTTAAATTAATCAGACAAAACTTTAGGGGAATTGATTTTAAAAGTTCTGATCAATAAAAAAAACAATATAAAATATATAAAATATTAATAAAAATTTATAAAATAGAAATATGTTAAATATCATGTTAATTTAAATAAAATAATAATATTAAATATACTTCTATTATTATTATTAATTATTACTATTATTAGAAAATTAGATTTTTTTTTTTATTTTAATTTTTTTTTTTATCAATGACTTTTATTAAAATTGTCTATTCTAAGGCCTTAAATATTTCTAATCTTGTATATATCTTAAAATATGCAATATTAATATTAAAATCAATTTAAATGTGAATTATATAAAAATTAGACAAAATTTCATGAAACAGTTGATAATTAGAATGCAGAGAATCAGAGACTTTCCCAAGCTACCGCACAGAGGTCTTCTTATTGATACTGGAAGACATTTTATCCCAGTTCAAGACATTTTACTTACATTAGACGGCATGAGCTACAACAAGTTAAACGTCTTGCATTGGCACATCGTTGACGACAACAGCTTCCCTTATCTAAATTCGGAATATCCCGAGTTAGCTAAGAAAGGCGCTTTTCATCCTTTATTGGTTTACACTCCCAAGGACATGAAAATGATCGTCGAATACGCGCGATTGCTGGGCATTCGAGTTATTCCGGAGTTCGACTCACCCGGTCATACAGAATCCTGGGGATTGTCTTATCCAGAACTCCTCAGCACTTGCTACAGTTACTTTATTTATTATTATTTCCAAAAAAAAAAAAAAAAAAAAAAAAAAAAAAAAAAAAAGCAACTCATTATTCAATTGAAAGTTAACCTAATATTAGAAAGCTACAACTGAAATACATTTTTCATCGCTATTAAATTAATGAGTAAATTTTCATTGCTTAATTCTTAAACAATTTAGATATCTTAACAACTTATTGTAACATTAATATTTTTACATTACATTTCTTTACTTGTGAAATAACATTTAATTTCAATTATACGTTCGCTTTACGCGTTCACTGTTGCATACCATTGCCAATTCATAAAAACCTTTAAAATGTATATGAAATTTACATACGTTAATGAATAAGTACGTGCTATGTAAATTATAATTATATATTTTAAAAATCTATTAAAAGTCAACGCTAAAAGTTTCATGTATTCATTACACACGAGAAAACATGTATTTTTATTATACTTACGGATTTTTAATGTTGCTAAGCCTTTTATTTTACATCAATATTTTATTATTAACACTTTTCGCCTCGACTGTTAAAGTCGCGCGCATTACATAAGAATTCTCACAGATTAAAATAAGAAAAAAAAAAATAATATAAATAAAAAAAAAAAGAAACATTAAATTGCTCTTTCATACAGTAAATTTTAATAAAGATTACAATTCACATGCGACAGAAAAGTTTATTCGTGTACATCGTAAGGTATTTCCACAAATGTACTGCATGCCTTAATTATTGTGAATTAATAATAAATTGAAATCAATTATTATTCTTGTAGACGATGAAGGGCAACCAAATGGGAAACGAGGCCCAGTAGATCCGACCAAAAGCGTATTCTATAACTTCGCGACTGATCTTTTCCTGCAATCGAAGATTATCTTTAAGGACCGATATTTCCATATTGGAGGTGACGAAGTGCCTTACGATTGCTGGAAAAGCAATCCAAAAATCACGAAATTTATGAAAAAGCGTAATATCACCGGCAGATACGAGAAGTTAGAAGAGCTTCATCATAAGAAACTCATGAATGCCTTGAAGGATGATATAATACCGATCGTCTGGCAAGAAGTTTTCGATCGTGTGAAAAAACTGTACCGTAACACTGTGGTACAGATTTGGACGGGTGATTGGCGTAAGGAAATAGCGGCGGTGACTAATGCAGGATACCCAGCGATACTTTCTACCTGCTATTATCTAAACTATATAGCCCAAGGTGGTGACTGGATAAAGTTTTACGAATGCGATCCACTCGATTTCCCGGAGAGCTTTGTAGGACAGAAGAAACTCGTGATGGGCGGCGAGGCCTGCATGTGGACCGAATTCGTCGACCAGTCAGTCTCGCATTTAACATTCTCGCATTATCTCAAAAGCTTTGTCTTGCGAAATGCTCACAACTTTAACAAATTCCATTACAAATGCTTTACATGCACTATTACAATGACACTCTTAATAAAGTATAAGACACCATTATGTGCGCTCAAAAATACATTTACGCTTTTGGGATAATCGATCCAAAAGCCTAATTGATCGAAATAGTATCTCTAGAGATATTAAACACTGCTATTAATATTACAGGACCAATATACATTCGAGGATGTGGCCTCGAGCATCAGCTGTAGCAGAAAGGCTGTGGAGTGTAAACTTCGATAACATTGAAAATGCTGCTTCACGCTTGGAGGAACACGCATGTCGTATGAATAGACGCGGAATTCCTGCACAGCCACCTAATGGACCGGGATTTTGTATAACTTGATGAAATTTTAGCTCTACATTTAATCGTTTAAATAATGCAATTGATGTATGAAATGAGATGCATAATAAAGTATTTCAAATAATTAAATACATTTTATTCGAACGATGACTCGGTCAGTTGACAGCGTCAGCTCGTTAAGTTTTTAATTTTAAAGTTAATATATATATTAAATCTCTTTATATATAATGGTGGTACGTATGCTGTATTAAATATAAATTTTCACAATAAATAAAATTATATTTTTTTCTTTTTTATTAATATTAATTTGCCGTTTAAAATAATTTTACATTAATTGATAAAAGTAAAGGATGTTTTGTGTTGATATATGTGTTTAAAGTATTTCTAAGATATAATCATTTAATCAAGAAAAACTTCAAGTAAAAAAATTACTTTTAATAACTTGTAATAGTTTAGTTATTATAAAAGCACAGATTATACTCTTATTTTTTTTCATTTTAGTTTTCTTTTTTTTCTTTCTTTTTCTTTCATTTTTTTTTTTTTTTTTTTTTTTTTTTTTTTATTTATTATTATTATTATCACATAACATTATTTTCCTTTATTCGATGACAGTTTAATTTTGTTAACCTCCGAAAGGATTTTTTTTTTTTTACATCTTTATTAAACAGTATTATGAAATCAAAATCTATATAAGCAATTAATTATGGATACAAGGTACGAATTGAAAATCTAGTTGATATTAAATTCCATTCAAATGCATAAATATATATACACAAAAATTTATACTTAAAATCATTATTTTATTCGAAAAATATTAATAAATATATTTTTCAAATCAGCAAAAATTTCGATGAAAATGTTTGTAAATATAACTATGTAGAAGTGCGAAGAAGAATAATTTAGCAATAATAAATGTAACTATCTACGGAGTGTATAAATTAAAGAAAATTTTCTTGGCTTTTAGAAACTCAACGTCTGAAATGATGAGTAAATTATACGAGCACGAAGCCGTTAATAAGTCAAATTATTTAAGTTCAAAAAATTTTAATGAAAAAGAACAGAAGCTTGCAAGTTGCCAGGATAATGATCGTGGCGATGTTAAAGTTCATTCTGAATTACCTGCGAAGCCAATTATCTATCAGCATCCGGAATCTTTAGCTGCTGGAGAATATCAAACACGTGTAAATCCCACTTCAGCCTATCAATGCAGTCAAGAGCCTCAAACTCCATGCGTAAAAACAGCGGTTAGTTTTTCTAATTCGTTTCTATTTGTTTTTTTATATTTTTAAATTTAAAAATGACGCTTCACCAAAATAATTCCTAATTAAATTTTGAGGCAATGCTTAATGAAAATTGTACCTTTAAAAATTGAAAAATTGATTTAAGAAATTAAATATAATACACAGTGGAACGATACGTCAAGTATAAGTAAATTTTATTAATTTTTAGCCATGCGTGCTTAAAATTTAATATAAATAATTAATGTTATAAAATATGTGAATGTTACGACTTTATGTTAAGACTGAAATCATATTTAAATATTCAGATAAATTTATATAAATAAGGAAATTTTATGTTTTAACTTTAAAATATAAAATTAAAAATGTAAATAAGACATATGTAATTTCAATTTATCATAATAAAAATATATATTATTGTTAAAAGTTGTACATAATTACAAAATATTACTATTTCGGTAATCTTTTTTTAAATAGTAAAACCGCTTTGTAACTGTTATACATGATATATATATATATATATACATATATATATAACAGTTATATATATATATATATATAACTGTTATACATGATATATATATATATATATATATATACATATATACATAAATAAACTATATATATATATATACATATATACATAAATAAACTATATATATAAATATATATGACTTATTTGAAATCTGTGTCAACTTATTAATTTAATTTATATGATAATCATTATTTATTGTGCACAATCTATATAATTTTATTAAATATTTTTATTACATAATTTTATTACATATAATGATAATATCTATTTTTTTTAATTAATATAAAAATATCAAAGATACGATTGAAATTTCATTATTTATGATGAAATATATATCAAATGTCTATCAATCGAGCACTATATCTCTATCTACTGATATCAATAAATTAATCAAAAAATTGTGTTGGAAAAAAACTTATTTGTTCACAAGAAATAAATAAAGAAACTTAAGTGTTAATAGTGAAACTGAAGAATAATATAACAATATATAACTTTGCACTTGATTATGATAGAATATAATAATAATATACTTGAATATTTATCGGAACAATTTACTTTACTGAACTATAATTTTCATGTTCATATATTAAACTTGAAAGAGAACGTAAGAAAAAATATATAATAAAATATATTATTCAGCTATGGTGTTATATTGAATAAAACGATCCATTTTTTCTTAAAGCTATATAATAATAAAATATATTATTATATATTTATAAATTATTATATATTATTATTTATATATTATTATATATTATAAAATATATTTATGTATATATGTTTATGTATATTTAAAATGTATTTACACCATAGCTGAATAATATATTTTTTCCATACTTTTTTCTTCACTTATCGAAAAATCTTGTCATTAAGCAATTAGAAATTTTATTTTTTAGTAATACGTAAGAAATACATTAACTAATTATTTGCGTTGATTTAATGAAAAAAGTTCTTGAAACAGTTATCACAGTTATACTTATTTACATCATATCTGTATAGAAATTTAAACTAAATCTCTTCTAAATATTTATTATTAACCTCGCTCCTCCTTAATAATCATTTCAATTAAATGCTTACAGCCATGTACCAATGGTGCGCTCCAATTTACTCAGAAAATGATAGAAGATCAAGAAATACTTGTCTCATCTTTGAGCCAACAAGGAATTTCGGAACCATTAATACGTCGTCACTTTGAACGATTGCTTGAGGAGCAAAGTAAACAACTGCTCATGTTGAACGAAAACAGACTGGTGGAGCAAAAAAAATCGAAAATAGATTTATTTAAATTTAAAAAACAAAATCAAAAGAGAAATAATTACGAAACGCAAGAAAAATCGTATAGCGTAAATTACAACTCGGCTCAAGCCATCGACAAACCTAACTGTGCATGCGCCTCTAAAATTACTGTTAACGCTGCACAAAGCAATCAGGAACAACAACAATGCGTAAGGAATAATGAAGAGGAAAGTAAAATGATTTTCGATTCGCAGGAAAACAATCGTCCGCATAAGGTGGAGCCATCAAGCCTAATGAAAATTCGTTTACAAAGAGAAGTTGTCAATACGCAAAGAAGAAACAATGGACTACAAAACGATACAGTGGCTCTTGAAATAATTCAAAATTGTAAGAACGATAAGGACAAGCACGTACCGGTAAATCATTCAAATGATTCGGTATATGTGCGATTGAATGGCACGCAAGATAAATTAGCATTAGAAAATTATCAATCAATTTACGCTACGGAAACCCTTAAAAAGCAAGAAAAACGAACGCCATATAATGGATTGGAAAATATAAGAAATTCAGATAATCCGCAATTAGCGCCAAAGTCTCTTAAATGTCGTGCTCAACAGCTCCTGAACGAACAAACCGGAGTTTCGTATCCCCCACAAAAATCATATCCCCATTACTCTACTCCAGTTACGAATTCCAGTAATGATAATGGAAAATACTCGGAGCAATATAGCAATGACGCTGATTCACAATCTCAATATGAGAATGAAGCACAATTGCAGCCTCCGAATGATGTTTGCCACAATGAATGTAATTCTCCTCATTGTACCAATCAAAGCAACTTAACATATTGGCCAGAATTTCAGGAACCAAAGATTATTGGTGGCTTAACGTACTTTGCTAGAAAACCACAATCGATACCAAATCAAAAAAATCTGAATGTTGAAAATCACAAATGTTCTAGTAGTGAGAAATTTTATGTATCTTAAATTGTTTGTACAAAATTGCTTGTGATTGTGACAAACGTTCGTTAACATTAAATAAATTATTCGTCATTATATATTGTAGTTTAATTATTACGGATGTATATCGTTTGAAATTATTTAATAGCATTCGTGTCTATCAATCGAATTTTCCAATAACTTTACTGATAATTATAAACATGTAGACGCGTGTGTATTTTCAATGAAAACAATAATCAAAATAGCGAAAAAATTATTATTATTGATTAAAATATATTAAATTAGCTCTTGATAAGTTTGAAAATTCACGTTGAATTTTAAATATTCTTAAATATAGATATAAAAGAATATAGGAAATATAATTTGACTGCCTACATTCACATTTATTTCACAATCTATTCAAAGGTTTTTTCACAATATAGCCATTATAATAAAGTAAACTATAGACTGTCGGGTATTGTATTTAACATTGAAAATATGTTCCGATATATTATTTTGAACTATTTCAATATTTCAATATTATTTGACGAATTCTATAAGACAAGTGTGAGAATTTTCCAAACATATAGAATTTTTCTATATATATTTTTCGTGTATAAATTCTGTCCCATTCTTATTCACCGATTATAATAATAAAATGTTTTAAAACCAGAATACAAATTTGACAATCTATTTACTTAATTAATCCACACACCTGTGACAAACAAATTTTATATAAATTTTTAATTTATTACTAATTTGAAGATAAATCATTACATAAAAATGACAGTGATATTAAATTAATGGCAAAATTAATTAAAATAATGCTATAAACCTATCATGAAATTTACATATTTTTTTATTTTCAATAAAATGGGTAATAAAATGTCTGTTATAATGTTTCTCCAAAATTTTCGTTATACGCATATAAATACATAAAAATTATACTAATTAGATTATAATTTAAAAATAAATAAAAATAATTTAATAAAGCTTAGCAACTTATTTTTTAAAAGCAATAATAAATTAATTAATTAATCGTATGTGTATCACGCGTGAGTGGACAAATTTTTTAATTTTTGGATGTATTCAACGTATTACTTTGCTAATAATAACTTATAACGTTTTACACAGTTTATATATTACAAAGTTTAAAAAAAAATTTTTTTTTTTAATAAAATAATATACAGAAAAATGTATTTATATATAACTCTCTTTCAAATGTTTTTCACGTTTTACATCTTTCTATAATAATTAAAACTAAACTTATAAATTGCTTTTAACTAATATACTTTTACTTAAATAAATTTGTATGTTTAAAAAGCTATTTTAATAAAATGAATAAGAATAATGACAAAGTCGCTCAAAAAAGCAATATAATCCCATTGCCTTCAATATGACGAATATTACAAATAAATGACAATTTTTCTAATTTGTTATTAATAATTCATTCCTGTCGGATCATAAATTAGATAATATTTTTGTTGCATAAACTTCTCCTTTTAGCGTCTCCTTGTCATTTGCCCATATTGCGGAAACATTAATTAATACGAATGAATATACTTTTTAAATTACAAACTAATATCAGTGAAAAATACTCTAATGCTACCACCACGTAGCTTTTGTATTATTCTCATAATTCAAAAATATTTTTAAATTAAAATTAAATTGAATTAACAAATATTTAAATTAAAATGTTTTTATTGACACAGAAATCTCATTACTTACCCTTCGTAATGATTTATTTAACATTATAAAAAAATATAAATATATATGTTTAAATGCTTTTAAGAATGCATTTGGAACAAAGTACCCATAAGAATATTGTTGAAGTGAACTTATAAGAATATTGAAATATTGACTTAATATTATTTACAATAATAGGCCACTCGAATAATATAATTCGAATGGATAAATGTCTGTCGAATACTTATCAATTTGATTGATAAATGTACATCCAGTAGTAAAGGTAAAACTTATAGCTAATAGATTCTAGGTACAATATATTTATACCAAACTGTTAAAGATTGTTCTCTTATCTTTTTTTTCTTTTTTCTTTTTTTTTTTTTGCTTTAAGATGTCAACTACTAAATATTCTTAAATAGGATATTCGATAAGATTCTTAAAACAAAATTCATCCACACTTTTCGTGTCATTATAAAAGTAGGCATGTACTCATTTATTAATTGTTACAATAACAACAATAACAACAACAGTAACTGTAAAAATAAAATAATTGTAATAATAATGACAATATTAATATCAGTAATAACTAAATTAATGTACTGATAATTTTTAAAAAAGTATTATTTAATTGTGCCACAAGGAAAAGATATTTTTTACATTGTTATAGGATATTTATAACGTAATTTATACATTAAACATTATATGGTGTTTGACTAAACAACTGGAAACGAGCATTGAAATCACCATCGGGACTTAACTTACGATTAATATTATAAAATCTGGCACTTTCCGTTTGTACGAATGATACTTTTTTCAACAGTTCGTAAAAATTCACGGCTGGACGAGGACATTGCGACGCGCGACTACTCGGTAGAATGACCCAATTCGTAGAAGCGTCGTCGAGTCCATCGAAACAAAGCGAGCGTTTATAATGAAGGTACATCATCGCAAAGGTAAGGATAAATCTTAAGGCGAGGAGGAGGAGCTCGAGTCCGCCTGGGCAGGTTCGAGTTGCGCCAGCGTCCGTTGGAGTTCGGAGCGCTCCTGCGGCTGGAGCCTATGCGCGATCTCCAGGACGGCATCGAGTCGGACCTCCGGGTAAGCCTCGAGAGCTTCCTTGATGCGGCTCACGAGCGCATCCTTCCTAACGCAACTCATGTTTCGCAGCAGGACGCTGCTCTCGCTGCTCGCCTGACTCTCGAGCCAGGAAGCCGCCGCCTCGTCGCTGTCCCAGAGGTAGGCCTCGGTCGCGCCCTGATCCTCGACGAACCAGCGGCAAAGCATCGCGTCTACCTGGCCAACCCCGAGGCTCGGCTGGGTGGCCAGCACCTCCTTGCGCACTCGGCCCTCGAGGAGTCGACGCCGTAATCGCCAATAGAAAAAGCGACGCGCACCCCGCCACGGCACTATCTCTTGGATGCAGTTCTTTTCGAGCATGCGCTCGGGCGTGTCGTGCAGGTCGGCCACGTGGAGAGCGACCTGCCGATAAACGGACTCGAGGCGACGCTCGCGAACCCTCATCTCCGCCTCCAGTTTCACGCGCTCCTCGGGCCCGGCCGTCAAGAGGCTCTCGCGCAGCCGTAGGATCGGCGCGTCCTCCCTATGCATTATCTTCAACATGTCCTTAAGGCGAAACTTGATCTCGACGATGCCCTCGGGCTCGAGGACACCCCCACGGCTCGTGCTATCGGCGAACATTTCCATACAATGGGGATTGATGCTCGGGTCGACGACCGCCCAGGCACCCCCACGAAGTTCCCCATACGGCGGTATGTACACTATTACTGGCCGACTGTACTGTCGCAGTCCGTCCACTATGTAGGCCCCGAACTTGATTATCTGCTCGTACATGTCTGGAAGTTGGGTGTTAATGGAAATTTATTAGCCGTCAGATGCGCTAAAGCGAGGATTTTACCTTTCATGCCACCGGAGAAACCGCGCCAATTGGCGAAGATTATGAGGGGCAGTTCTTCGCGACCGAAATCATTAATGGCCTGGGCCGTCTTGTAGGCGCTGTCCGGGTACCACACTTGACCGGCCTGCGAGACCGTCTTAGCTTCGGAATCGGGATTGGCCGGATCGGCAGGTAGATGTAATTCAACGGTACGCGTCTCGACAGCGATGATGCCACAGGGGATGCCACCTAGTCGACCTCGCCCCGTCACTACCGTCTGCGCCCACGGTCGCATAATTTCCTAGGTAATCAAGAGAGATCCAAGTTAATTAACGATTTTCAAAATATATATTGGGGGAAAGAGCGACTACCGACCTGCCAAGAGCCACGATCCAGGAATCCAGTCTCCCAGAGGTTAGCATCGCCAGCCTGTGGCCGGCCCTCGAGCATCCAGCGCGGATCGTATGGCGCTTTACTAGGCACGAAGGTAATGTCCCGGTCGACCGGATCGAGGAATGGCATTGGTCTTATTGGCAGTGGTGCACCCTTGACTTTGGGCATGTAACTCAGCCACTTGAGGACCGTGGCGATGCCGTCCAGATCTCGTGGCTCGGTCGCGTGCGATATGCCGTTATTATGCATAATTTGAACGCCACCGAGCTGATTGTTACTCGCGTAAACCTCGCGGCCAAGGACACTGTTAAGGGCCTTGTAGCCGGTGAGAATGATGTGAGAGTTTTCGATTTGGATGACGCGCTGACCGAGCCGAAGGAGATACGAGCCAATGCCAATGGCGCGACAGGAGACAACGGATATCGTCACAATCTGTACAAAATTGCAAAATAGTAATATTGACCATCCATTGTCTTGGGTAAGTCCCATTAGTCAGACTTACCTTGTCGTATGCCCTCGACGTCTCCCCTGCAATCATTCCCGCGTATTTCAAATTCTCGGTACCGAGGCCGTCCTCTTGACCGATAATGTCCGTGATCTTGTAGCGAGACTCGCCAGCGTCCTCGATCAGACTAGCCTTAACCGAATTCAAAGGTGCCAGTCGTGCATAGTCGTCCGGTGTCAAATAAATGTATTTGAAACCTTTTTCCAGCTCTTCCTCATCCTCCCAGGCTATTCTAAAAAGATTCTTAACCTACGGGACCAAAAGATATCATATCAGACGTTGCGATCGACAATGATTAATGGGCAAGTTTGGCGACTCACCTCCTCCGCCAGACCGATACGTGCACCGGAATTGGCTGCGAAGTAAATACGTGGAATGCCAAGCTGTCGCGCCCTCTCGGACGCTCGGTAAAAGACAATATCTTCTTTTGGTCCGAAGGAGCCGATACAGTAAGTCAAGTCGTTAGCTATAAGGATCAGATCTCTGCCACTCGCATACTCTGGCGTGTAGAGAGTCAGTCTCCAGGCGATCATACCGACGTCGTTTTCCCCAGGTAGACGCTTCTGTTCAACGAGTGTCTCGCCGTCGAGAACCAGCTCGACGTAATCCATCACGGGATTGGGTACGATAACTTTCTCTGAAACAATCGACACGCATAAGGTTGAAATTAATCTTGCTAGCCAATTTCCATCAATTGAACTTTACACGTTAAATACACAATGATTTAAAAAATGATTTAAAAAAAAAAAAAAAAATAAATAAATAAAAAAAAACACACACACACAATGAAGGATTGGCGTAACCCCACATAATATACATAATATGTTTGGGCATCACATATGTGTAGAGTGATTGAAAAGCAGGAGGTGCTAGAATAAAGCTGGGACAGCTCACCGTTGTTCGGGACCTCCTCGAGATGCTTGGCCCAGGCCCGTTCAACCTGCTGCCGAAATATGTCGGGTAAATCGTATGCGTAAGTGGTGCCGGCGATCTGAGCTTGAAAGCGCTTGGCCTGGAGGTAGTCCTTGGTGAGATAGGGAGTGGAGATGGGTAGGCCGTGCATTGGTCCCGGTCGCCAATTACTACTGCTGCTCGGTACGTACGACTCGAAACGTATCTGGCCGGTTTTGGGATCCGTGGCCTCGTTATAGAGATGCAGGTCGATGCTGTAGCCGCTGTCGTTGGCGATGCAGAGCCGTACGTTGGAGGTGGGCTTGCCCGGTGCGGGTCGAATGGTCATTTTGATCTCGGCCTGGCGAACGCGCAGCTTCCAGAGCCGCGGTCCGTAGCGCAACACCATACTCGTGACGCTTTCCTCGATACGGGCCGCGTCCATGATGACCGTGGGGACGAAATTCAAGAAGATGTGATTACAGTCGGTGCGCTTAGCGAGAGGATGGGAGAAGGCAACCTCGAGTTCGTCCATCGCCTCGAGGAGCACGCGCTCGCCCTCGTTGTGCAGATAATCGAAGCTCGCCTCCTTGGTTATGAGGTCGGAGTGGCGGATTATCGAGCGGATGAAAAAGCGATAATCCGTTACCTGCTGGCCTTTCGCTACCTTAGCTTGGCCCAAGTACAGGTGCATCTTTTGATTGGAGGTCGGCAGGGCCTCGAGGTCGTAAATGCGCATTCGATTGAGCTCGATGTGGAAGGCGCAGCCGGGCTCGAGGTGACGATAGATCCGGTCCTCGGCAAAGCCGTCCCTCTGCCGGAAGGTGAAGAAGCGCGGGAACTGGCGTCGCTTCAACGCGGCGAAGGTGACGCGTCGGACGCCGCGCGAAAGGAGCTCCTCCCGATTGGTCGCGCACCACTCGCCGAAAAGCCGAGCGAGCGCCGCGTCCTCCAGTCCAGCCTCGTCCTGTACGGCGACGCTGAGTATGTGAGCCGGCTCCGGGCGCTCGAGCCGCTCCGGCTCACCAGGAACCGGCGCCGGCTGTTCCACGCTGATCGACGTGCTGTGCCTCGACTCGCTGCAGCCCGCTGCCTCGACTGCCTCGAGCACGCGCGCCGATAACGAGCTCACCGACGACAGGTCCTCGAGTAGATCGAGGACCTCGTCAGCGTAGCGCGAGAATTCGGACAGATCGCGAAAGGCGGCCATCGCCCCCGTGCGCTGATTAACCATCGACTGACTCTGGCGATTCGGATGATTGCTCGGCAGGAGGAACTGGAAGTGCACGAGGGGAATTTCGCCCGAGAGCTCGAGGTGCTGCAAGCAAGTGAGCTCGTAGCTGATGTAGGCGCGACGCACGTAAACCTCGAGGGCTGCGTTGCATACCGCGCGATTCGAATGGTAGAAGAAGTCGTGGAGGATATCGAAGATGCAAGTCTCGGAGAGTATGAGCTTCTGAAGATTCTCCGGATGAAAGTCATGGCCGTACATGTCGACTGCCGATAGGAAGATTGACTCCATCTGATTGTGACGTAATTCGTAAGCGGGCTGATGGGCGGCGATGAGAACCTGACGCGCTCGCAGTGCCACGCGACTGTGCTCCTGGCGGCTGAGGCTCGTCAATTCCGTGAGCGTCGAGGCGAGCTCGTCGGTGAGGCCGGGCTCGTTCGCCCACAGGTGATCAACGAGCATCGTCACCAGGACGTTCTTCTTGAGCACCTGGCTATGACTGAAAATGGCCGCGGTGACGCGCGCTGCGTCATCCTTGTGCCGCTCGAGCAGGGCCGAGACGCACTTGTCGTAATGGCCCTGCTGAAACTGCGACTCGACCGTGTAGTACTGGCGTAAGAGCTCGTGCACCGCGGCCTTCATACGGCCACGTATACCGTTACGGTAGCGCTGCACCAGCTGGACAATCGCTTGGGTCGTGAGGAAGAAGACGTCGCGCTCGGCGCGCCGCGAGAGCGTCGCGGCGTGGCCGTCGATCACGGCGGCAATCTGCTGGCTGGGGAACTGGGCGAGCACGGAGGTGATGTTGCGTTCGTAGAGAGTCATGAGTTTGCGTATTTTCTTCTCGACGCCGAGGGGCACGCGTCCCGAGATCGTGGCCACGACCTCCTGGAGCTCGAGGAGCGGTAGAGCGGGATCGCGCAGCGAGCCCATGAAGCGCTCGACAAGCTCGCGGAGACGCGGGAGGTGATAGGGTTCGGGGAGGCAGTAGCCCGCGAGCACGTTCTCAAGGGCCATACGGTATTTCGCGTGGAGTTGATTAAGGCGCTCGGGTACGGGTGGACTACCAGGCCCGGGGAATTTACCGGTGAAGTCCTGGGCTCGGGTGACGAGGGTCGGATCGTCGAGCTCGAGACGCGCGATGAGACTTCCGGCCTCGAGTAGCGTGCCCGGCCGTTTCACGTAGAAGAGCGAGCCGGCCTCGGATGCAGCTATGGTCATCACCATCTTCATGACTTCGATTTCAGCGTAGGGCTGACCGGCCTCGACGTGCTCACCGTCCTCGACGAGATAGAGGATGAACTTGCCGGCGGAAGGGCTGCGCAGTAACGATGGATCGTTGTCCTTGTCGAAGACGCAGGTCTGGTTACCAATAACGATGCAATAGCGATCGAGCTCCTCGCGCATATAGGTCGTGAAACTAGCACCATCGAGGGAAAGAAGTAGACCGCCGTCCGAGAGCCGATGCACCTCGACTTCCTTGTACGAGCCGTTCATCACGAGGAAGTAGCTGTTTAATCCTGACTTGGCCGCTTCGACCTTGTACTTGTAGCCGTCGTTTATCAGCTCGACGTCGACGATGTTGCCAAGGTCGTTGCTTGCCAGTATCTGTCCCTTTTCAAGGGCGGTCTGGAAGCCACCGAAGGCCGCGCTGATCGAGCGATCGGCGATGTGCAGGGCGCCACAAGTTACCGCGAGTAGCACGTCCGGCTTGTCGCTGCGCACGCGCTCCGAAATAAGCAAATCGAGCCAAGCGGTATCAATGTTGTTACTTTGGAAGGCCTCCGTCTCCAATAGGGTGATGAGATACTCGACGGTCGTGCGGAAATCACCACGGATGCTGAGCTCCTTCAGAGCGACCACGAGATTCTCACGGGCCTGATTGCGATCCTCGCCCCATGAGAAGCAGTGACCGAACTGGGAGTCGGCGAACTCGTGAAGACCGCCGGAAGCGCCGACCGAAAAGTATCCCCAGACGTTCTTTGATGAGCGGAAGTTGAGCTCCTGTACGGTGCCGCTGCTCGGTTTGAAACCTACGACCCATCCATACTTTTTAATATATAATATCGCCCCTAACGAACGTATTGATAATTAAAAGTAGATTATAAACGAGGAGGCTCGAAAGTCTATCCTAACCTTCATCGGGATTCTCGCTGGTGATTCTCGCAGCAATTACGTGACCCCAAGGCTGTGGCTTGTTCCGCGGTTGCTCGAGATCGATGACGCTGTCACCCCATGGACTCTCGCCGTACAGCAGCCTAATGTCTTTGATATGGTGGAGGGCCAAACCCATAGCAATTTGGAGTTGGGCGGCCGGTAAATTAACATCGGAGACCATTTCCGTACAAGGGTGCTCGACCTGCAGCCTCGGATTCAACTCGAGAAAGTAATAGCGACCGGATGTGTCGTAGAGATACTCGACCGTACCAGCGCTGACGTAGCCGACCATCTTGGCGAGACGCACGGCCGCCTGTACTCGGAAAAATGATTTACATGATAATCGGTATAGAGTCGAGCAGTCCGCTCGTCAAGAATCGTAGGATTCAACTACCTTTTCCATTTCCTCGAAGACCTCGGGCTTGGCGATAACCGCCGGTGCCTCCTCGATGATCTTTTGATGTCGCCTCTGGATCGAGCAGTCACGACCGAACAGCGATATCGCGTTCCCGTAGTTATCCGCGAGGAGCTGGACCTCGAGGTGGCGCGCGCACTTTGCCAGCTTCATGATGAAGATCGGCGAGCCCGGTATTTCCGTTTGCACCTGCCTAAAGAGGGTCGGCAGCTCCTCGGCGTTCTCGACCTTGCGGATGCCCTTACCGCCGCCACCCTCGCTAGCCTTCACCATTATCGGGAAGCCAATTTTGTTGACCGCCGCGAGGCACTCTTCCACGCTCGACACGCAGCCCTTCTTAAACAATTCCGACGAGATTTTTATTTTTTTACCGCTATAGTGGGCTTTCAGGTCGGAGCCGGACCAGGGTAGCGTTGGTACGTCCGCTGTTTGGGCGACGATACTCGACGCGATTTTGTCGCCGAGCGCCCACATCGCCCGCTCCGATGGACCTATAACGATAATATACCACACATTATGGATGCTGGATAGAAGGTGGTTGAGATGAGACATATTGCACATTCCACGGCCATTCAAAAATTCAATATTAAATATAAATGTGAAGAGAGGAATTTGCTTTTTAAAAAATATGGCAATAATATTGTCTCCTCTATGGAAAATTTTACTAATACAAATTAATCGATGGTTGTTTTTTTTCTTTCTTCTTTTTACTATTTTACATAGCTCGATTAAATACAAATTCCCATGAATTACTGATGGATGGACGAAGATTACGACCGAGACAATGTTTATCATAATATTTTTATATAATAATATATTTGCAGACATTTAATCCGACATTTTGATTACTTCTATTGAATTGTTTGTCTTATTTAAGTAAATTCGCGTTACCAATTTCTCTCCACTTTCATAATGCTTTAACAAATTTTTAATACTACATGCCAACGTTCCGTAACACTTTAACAGTCGAACAAATTGCTTATATTCAACAAACAGTGCACCATGAAACGATTTTAATAATATAAAAAGGTTTTGGAATGTCTGAATTTTTTAATAAAAAAAAATATATATACGGAAGTTGTTGCAATATGCAGACAATAGTAATCAATCATTTTTATCGAAATTTGTAAAATCGTTGCTTCGAACTTGGTTACAATATCACGCGATTTCTCTAGATAAAATATGTATTTTAAACACGTTGCCCGTAACTTAAAGAATATAAAATCTATCAGATATATTGGAAAATATGCTACCGACCAATGAAGCAAATGTTGTTCTTGTGAAGAAGTTCCGGCAACTTGGGATTCTCGGAGGCATGTCCCCAACCAGCCCAAACCGCCTGCACTTGCGTTCTAATGGCGATGTCGACGATCAGCTCGACGTTTGCATAATTGTTATTATTCGTACCCCCGGGCACTGGGACGTACTGATCCGCCATTTTTATGTACTCGGCATTAGCTTTTAAATCCTCCGGCGTTACCATAACCACAAAGCGCACCGCCCGTTCGTTCTTGAACATCTCGTAGGACCAACGTCTTATCGAACGCATACATTTTACTGCTGCAATACCGTTGTTGGCAATCAAAACCTGTAATTACAATGTCATCCATCACCAATTCACATTGGACCATTGACAGGCAAGCTTATTTGCAGAACGGGGATCGTTTGCTATTACAACGTTTCTAAAAGTTGCATTCTCATCGATAAGTGTCCAAATATTTTACATTTACATGATAACCACTGGGATTAAGATAAAAATTAATGATTGTAATGATAAATTACAGACGGCATATGCGTAATTCGTATTACTGTAAAGAATTTAATAAATAACTCATACGTAATATGGTTAATAATTCATACAAAAGGTATATGTAATTCACACATATCTAGTCAACATGACTGTTGATGATAATATTAGGAGGACATTTATTTTAATGGCAATCAATACATTCTTCATAAGTAATAAATAACTTTCATTTATATTATATATATATATATATATATATATATATAATTTACAGACTTTAAATTACTCTCTCGTCAAATATACTAAATTGCTTAAAGTAACAAAAAGTAATATTATACTGAAATATGCAATACTATATACTAATAATTGCTTTATCTAATGAATCAAATTATTGCTTAATAATGTTAGTTTTTGTACTAATATAGTTTATGATTTATAATATCTTCTCGATCTCGTTTAAAAAAGATAAGAGGGTTAATCGTCCTTCTATACATTCTATACAAGAACTTATAAGATCTAACTGCAATACTTTATAAAAATAATTTAAATTCTACATAAGATTTTTCTTCAATTTTTGTTCTTTTCTTCGAGAGTATTTTATTTAAAAAAAGTGTTTAAGATATCGAGTCAAGAAGATTTGGTACTTTTTGATAAAGAAATCCGAAAATTTTATAAAATTATAGAGAACTTGAACCTAATGATTTAAATACACATTAGGCAGTATATTACTCGTGAAGAGAAATCATTAATAACAATAATAAGCTCGATGCTATTACAAAATGATTAAAATAATTACATCATCAAAACATTTAATGCATGACAGAATAATATAAAAAAAAAAATATCAAACCAAAGAATTCTCGCTGGCATTGACTTGTATTAAATCACTAGGAGTTTATATTAACCGAAGATAATTTCAATGTATAAAACGTTCAAGGAAAAAATTTCCATTTTTTCCTCTCTCCCTCCCTCTATCTCTCTCTCTATCTCGTTTCTCGTTAACTTAGAATCCCGTAATTTTCTTATATATTACTGTATTAATTAAAAACCGAATTTAAATAACTTACTTGGATAAACTTTACTCTTATTTTATGCAAAGACAAAGTTTAAATACAACTTCTAACAATTACAAATTACAATTTGAAGAAAGAAAAAATAAAGCTAATAATTTCAAGAAAATGATGATCCTTCACTTTTTATAAAGATTTTTAAAAACCTTGCAGCATAATATCAAAAACCATTTCATTTTCTGTTTTGACAATTTTTTAATCTAATTTACAAAATAATAAAGTAACAGTATGTCTGCATATCGTAAACATCGAGTTTTGCAAATATTAACATTAAATAATAGTATTTCTTTTCAAAAGATTATAAATACACGAATTGTTATTTAGCAAATTTACTTTATTATAGAATATAAGAAAAATAATAACCTGCTTTAGGTGCATTTGCCTAGCAAACATAAATGATTTATAACTACGTTAATTTGAACAGGCACATATAAAATTGAACAAAAAACTTTTAATTTCGGTAATCTTTCTTCTGTATATTAATTGTATTCCTTCAATATATATATATATATATTTAAATTGATAATTTTTGTATTGTGACAATAACATTTTTTACAATATATAATATTAATGTTACCTCAGATTTTAATTATTTTGTATAAAAAAAATTAATTTAACCTTTACTTTTTTTACAATTAATATTGTAAGAACTAGAAAGAAATTTCATTCTTATGTCAAAATTAACATTACACTTTCTACGTAAAATTTGATTAAAACCTCTTTTAATTAAAAATTAATGATACAATGTTTTTAATTATTATTCAAATACTATACTCAAATAATGTCAAAAATGAATTTTTACTAATATTTATATTCTTTTCATAAAATTTATGTACTTTTTACATATGAATTATCTCAAATATATAATTCCAAGCGTATATATTCTTAAATAAATATATTAATTTGATTGTAAAAATAAATTATTATAATAAGCTAAACTAAGCTGCTAAATTTAAGTGAACGAATAATTATATTATGGAATTATAATAATGGAACTTTATACTAACAACTCTAAAAGGACTTAATAACAAATTTATGAATATAAGCGTTTTTTCATATGCATATATAATTATCCTATAGTTTAAAAAAATATTGTTAATTTTTGTATTTCATATTAGCAAAAAGGAGAGTAAAATATATGTTGTTTTGAGTTTCTAATTTCTTTAAAATCAAATTTTAACAAACTTGATAAATATTTAGCACCAAAAACATTGAAATTTTTGTAAGTTTTGTTGATTATATTAAATATATATATATATATAAGAATTGTGACGTTTCACATTCTATTTCAAATTAAATATATCTTTAATGTAACCTTTTTAACTAATTATACATAAATATATATATATTTAAATTATACAAGCATACCAAAGGAAAAAAACGATATTAAAAATTCGATGTACGGATATTAAATAAGTATTTTCAATACCATTAAAATATTCCTAACTAATCCTTACGATCCTATTACTACGTCATTTGCTCTTGGAAACTGCTTGATGTATTAAAATATTGATGATGTCAAAGATTACATAAAACATTTTACATAAATTAATATATTATTATTATTGTTATTGTTATCATCATCATCATCATCATCATCATCATCATCATCATCATCATCATCATCATCATCATCATCATCATCATCATCATCATCATCATCATCATCATCATCATCATCATCATCATCATCATCATCATCATCATCATCATCATCATCATCATCATCATCATCATCATCATCATCATCATCATCATCATCATCATCATCATCATCATCATCATCATCATCATCATCATCATCATCATCATCATCATCATCATCATCATCATCATCATCATCATCATCATCATCATCATCATCATCATCATCATCATCATCATCATCATCATCATCATCATCATCATCATCATCATCATCATCATCATCATCATCATCATCATCATCATCATCATCATCATCATCATCATCATCATCATCATCATCATCATCATCATCATCATCATCATCATCATCATCATCATCATCATCATCATCATCATCATCATCATCATCATCATCATCATCATCATCATCATCATCATCATCATCATCATCATCATCATCATCATCATCATCATCATCATCATCATCATCATCATCATCATCATCATCATCATCATCATCATCATCATCATCATCATCATCATCATCATCATCATCATCATCATCATCATCATCATCATCATCATCATCATCATCATCATCATCATCATTATTATTATTATTATTATTATCATTATCATTGTACATAAATCTATAGTTAAAGAAAATGAAACTATTTAAAATTATAGACAAGTTAAAATTTGTATCAATAAAAATGATTATTTACGTGCAAATATTGCAGTGAATTAAGACTTTATGAACATTTTTTTGAAATTAGAAGCGATAAACATATGCCTTTGACAAAGGAACTCTTCTTCGTTAAATTTTTATTCTATTTTATAGAAACGTACATTAGCAGACGTTGTTTAAGGACAAATTGAATTAATAATGAATCACTCATCAAGAAAAAATGTAAATGAAAATTAGCTAAATTAAAAAAAGAAAAAAAAAAGGAAAAGAAAAAGACAGCCAAGCCTATGTAATGCTTTAATGCTTTTATCGCGCAATAAACTCTCGGGTGCGTTCTTTTATTGAATTTCGTACGAATTATGAGAAAAATGGTAGGCTATTTTGGCAAGTGAGCATTACGAGAGTCATAAAGTCGGAACCGCGTACTTTCTTAAGATTGTCGATTGTCGATTGTCGATTGTCATAAAGACCGTTCGAGAGGAAGAAGTTTGGAAACCGCTTGCGTACATTAGTCGGCAGTGAATTGAAAGAAAGTCGTTTTAGTAAAAGAATTGGAATCAGGAACGAGTCGCGGAGTTACCGATGCATTTCTCGCTAGAAAGCGTTGTTAACCTAGATTGATGCCATGATAATTGACGATAAATAAGCGACACTAGTCGTGAAATTACTATGATGACATTTAAGGTATGAGTTAAAAAAAAAAAAAAAAAATTAAATTCCGTGTACCTTGTTGATGACGCGAGTGCCGCCGAACCGATGTACAAACTCCTCAGGTGTGGCAACGGTGAAGTCCTTCTCCAGCTGCCGACTCTGCGTCTGAATCATCACCGTGCCCTGAGACATGCTGGGCCTGTATATAACACACAAAAAAAAAAATAAATAAAAATAACGCTAGGCGTGAGTATAGAGGTAAGGTCGGCCCCCGAATTATCCCCGATAAACGCACAATCCTAGGCGAATTAAATTCAGCGATCGACTCTCTAAGCACACACTTGCGCGTTAATAAAATGTATAAACTCGCGTAGCCGAATGTCATGGGTAGTTTGGAGCGTGGAAGGACGATGAAGGAAAAAAGTAAGAAAGATAATTATGAAAGAAAAAAAAGACGGAGTCATAGTTGATAGTCGTAGTAGTGTCAGTGGTAATGGTGACAGTAGTGGTGGTGGTGTTGATGGTGATACTGGTTGCGGTAACTGTGGTAATAATAGGTGAAGTAGAGCGATAGCAGCAGTAATGGTTGAAAGAATACTAGCAGGAATAGTAGCAGTGGTCGTAGTAATAATAACGGTAGTTGTGGTGATGATGATGATGTTGTTGGTAGTGATGGTGGTAATGGTGGTGGTAGTGATGGTAGTAATGGTGGTGGTAGTGATGGTGGTAATGGTGGTGGTAGTGGTGGTGGTTGTGGTTGTGGTGGTGGTGGTGGTGATAGCGAAGCTGCTGATGATGGTAGAAATAATAATTGAGGAAGAAAAGAAGAGAACAAGAGATGAAGATGAGTGCCGGGAATGATGCAGCAGAATGATTACGTCATTCCGTGATGGTGGGCCGTGTGGCCGCTGGTATCCAGTCTCATGCTGGCCTCGGACTCCGCGGCTGTTTCTTCCTCGTAGCTGTTGGTCCTGGACAAACCCGAACGCAAATTGTCCGAGCTCTTCCACATCGGATCCTTCTCGCTATTTTCAGCGAGAACGAATCTCTTGATGCGTCTCATGCCGGTCGCCGTCTACCTTGACAATAATGCCACGCTTCGTAGTTTCAAGTGGCGCGGACACCAAACTGCCGCGTCTGCATTTAGGATTTTAGCCCGAAATCGTAGTTGACCAGCATATTTTCATTATCGAGGATTGGCCGGTCCGAGACCTGCGTCCGTCGCGAGGCGGCCCCGAGTACACTGAATCGTCGACGTAGCGCAACGCCAAGGAAAGTGGAACCTTGAACGAGGAAAGAGATACCTGACAGGTCGGCTCTCCCCACCCCCTTCTGTTTCCTGCGCGTACACGTGCGCCACGCTGACAAGTTGCGCGCTAGCGGAATCGAACACATTTTTCTCTGAACTAATGACTTACACCACGATGAAGCGTTATATTCTTTCCTTCTTCCCCTTTTCGTCGCTTATTCTCAATTAGACATTGACGCTACACTCGGAACTTAACAAAATTACGCAAATAATAGGTGATTGAGAGGTATTATATAGAGATAGATGGGCTAGAGCAAGAGAGATAAAAAGAAAGGAATTGATCGATGCGTGAATGCTTGGATTTTCTGTGGTACGAGCCAAGTTCTTCGTTCAGGAAGCTCGTAATACGGTAAATGTCGGATTCTTTTAAGCCTGAAAGATACATTCGTGTACTTGAGAAGGTTGCCGTGAAATATTGAGCTTACTTATAAACGTTCATTGAATGAAATTCTATCGAGATCATCGCTTATTAACTATTTCTTTCAATAAATGTAATATAATAATAATACTAATTTAATCATAAGAATGGAATATTGCTAATTTATCCGTTAGATGTATGCTAGCGAACTAATGAATACAAATACAACAATACTTTAAAAAGCCGAGATAATTACTATGTTACAACCTAAGTACTATTTAATAAAGTAATTCAACTAAAGTACTAAGAATTACTGATTGTTTTGATATTTAAAAAATTTTAACTCTCTATACTGGACCGCGTCCAGTGTTACTTTTTTTATGCTTGATTTCGAACGCCTAAGCTATCAATCATATAAATGATTGATAAATAATCCTAATTTTCAACTCTATTATGAGCAGAAATATTGTTTTAAATCATTGATTCGATATTTAGACTCTATTCTCATAATTTATGTATATTTTATAAAATATTATAATCTATAATAATTAAAAATGCCTTTTTTTTTTTTTTTTTTTTTTTTTTTTTATAAGAAAAAAGTATAATAAACAATATGTGTCAGATTTTATATTTCTAATCTTAACTCATTACAATTATTGCATAAAACTCAATGATTATATGAATTTTTAATTGTCAAATATTCGTTTATGCAATTATATTAATTAACTAATTCTATTGACTATGTGGCATAGGGAGAAAAAAATAGTTATACATAGACAACGTAATATATCCATTCTTCGCAAAATATGAATATTAAACCCAATCTTTATGCTTTAAAAAAAAAATGAAATGAATATCTTGTGTTTAATCTTAACGTTACGAATGAACAAACAGCTCATTGCATAACAGCTATTTTCCCACGGAATATATAAATTACAATAAAGAAACCATGTATTGCAAGTTGCAACAAGATGTGCAACAAAAGGCTTATAAAAAGCATAACTTCCATATACGATATTTAATATTTGTACAATTTTATATATATAGAAAAAATCATTCGGAAATAGATTGGAATGTATAAACTATATAAATTACACCAAGAGGAAAATACTCTTCTATAAAAGGATCCTACATTTTAATTATTATGAATATATTCACACATACATAAATAAATAAATAAATATATACATACGTGTATATATATATATATATATATATATATATATATATATATATATATATATGAAACATAAGCAGTCATATATTTTGATAAAAATTTTTAAAATATTTATCAATTTTAAATATTTATAGCATAAATTTATAATGAGAATTAATAATATAAAAAATTTTAGTATACAAATATATTTTAGAATTTAAAAAATTGTAACTTAAACCGATTTTTATTGTACAATAAACTTACTGTAATAGATTTCTAATATATTTCATATGTCTGAGCTGAAATTTATATTAAACAAAATTTACTCTATACATATCCTGTTCAATTGAACCCGTAAAAAAATCTGGATAGTTGTGTATCTATTTAATAAAGAAATACAAATAAAAATTTCTATAAATACAAAATAAATACAGATTGTACACAAAGATAATGCTAATTTTATATTTAACATTTACTGACTAATGCTCAATATTTAGAGGAGCTGCGTATTAGTGTTTACGAAAAGCTCACCTCACTGAGTTAATTCATGAATATGGTACCTTGATTATCTATCCTATGAAGCAAATGGACATTTAATTTAATTTTATAGGATACTATAAAGCGGAAGTCTATACTATGTACACACATAAAACTAATTCAAATGAATAGAAGTTATAATCGTTGAATTACTAATTCTTGCTGACAGTAATGAAAAACAATAGAAAGTAGATTGCCTTCGATGTTAAAACAAAAAACTTCAAAATATGGCTTTTAAAGACCTTGAATGTAAATAAAATGATTAATATCACTTATGTTAATTTATATGTAAAAATAAATCGTGAAAAACTGAAACAGCATTTTCAATATCAATTGGGAAATGCAGCATCGAAAACTCAATTTTACTACATACTTAGTATTCCTTCTGTATATATAATGAAATTTATCATATTTTTTAAATTAAAAATTGTATTCAAGCCACTTTAACGAATAAGATATAACTCTATGTTATCGTTTTAATAAAATTTATCTCATTTTTCATAAGCGTACGCTATGTAAAAGATACAACAAAATATTTTTATTTCAATTTTTATTCAATATTAAATGATAAAATTACTTCGTCTTATTATATTATAAATCAGATTACTAAATTCAAGATATAATGCGTAGCATTTCAATAAATGACGTGAAGTAATAATCGATATTGTTAAATATACACAATACATTTAAAATTAAGATACTGCATATTATGTTAATTATCCCACAAAAGTATAGT